AGCAAAGCCAGCCTGAGAAAAGCAATCTAGGAAAAACAGACAGACAGAACGCTGATGGATGGTGGAGCCAGGTGATACTGATAGACTGATGCAAGCCCCTGGATCCAGGCATGTTTTTAATCAGATTGACCTTTGGACATTCACTTGTAAGTTGCATGATCCAATAATTTCCCCTGAGCAGCCAAGGTATTTTTTTCTTCAAACACATTGATTTATGTTTTAGCATAATCAAAAGATTATTGGCCCACTGCATTTGATAGATGTGTGTAGCATGAGAAGCCTCTGATGGACAAATATTCGGAGTATGGTCCTTTGTTGTCCAGGAAATTTGAGGCTTTTATGGATATTCTATAAAGTGGCATTTCAGATTCCACTGTGGAGACAACCGCTATTTGCAGCTAACATTGATCAACCACCTCTTGTTCAGCAAGCATTGCACTAAGCTGGTCCTCTTTATAGGATGAGATCTTACAGAGATTTGCAGTGCTGAGCTGCTTATACAGGTGAGGCCGTTGAGGCTTAGGAACCCCTAGTAACACGCTTATGATCAAACAATAACCTGATCCTTCAAACTCCACATGCCTCATACTTTATGTTTGGGGTTAACATTTTTAACTGCTAGTCTATCCGGCCAAGACTACCTGGGGCCCATGTTATTTTACATGTAACTCAAGACCCCCCGATTGTTGGTTAAAAGTGCAGGAGGAGGCTTTCAAAATGCAGATGAGATGCAGCATGGTAGAAAATTTGTCAGATAATTACCAAGATAGTATATGGTCTGAAAATCTCCACTGTGTAATTCTGATTCAGCTAAAGAAGCAGTGCTTCCTAAGGCCTTGTCCATAGAAGACCCACCGGCATACAAACCAATCGTTTTCGCTACAGGAAGAAACAGTGCCAGAATGGAGATTATATGTGTCACTAGCATATCGTTTAATTCACCTGATTGACAAATACAAAGACTACTTTCTCAATTTCAAAAAAGGGGGGGGAGCTGGGATTTACATGCTATCCCAACCGTATACTGTTCATAAAATGGGGGGAGAAAAAGAATTAACTGACTTAGACAACCAAACTTGTGCTAGTGTTTCGGATTTCAAGAAATACAAATGATAGTTTGACAAGCTAAGTTTCGCTCCATTACATTATCTGCTTGGTAATTATAAAATTATCAGTTTTTTAAGACAATTATTTCACAGAAAATGGTTCCCAGTGTTTGTGGTGTTATGCACATAAAAACAATTATGTACTCCAGGCATCCTGGAAGAGGACACGCTTGGGCTACATCAAGGTTTAGCTGCTTTGTGATCCTATTGCCATCAAATCAGAAAGGCTGCTTCATGTCAGCATCCATCATGACCACAGAGAGCCTCCCAGTTCAGCCGTCCCTGCTATAGAAATAATGTAGGTCTCCGACCCATACAGCAATCCTCATACGCTGCTGTGATGCACATAACTTTACTTAATTAATTTTTAATCAAACAGGGCTGCCATGTCTGACATTGACTGTCTTTGAGTACACCAAGTAATGGCACTCTTACGTAGCAAGAGCCAGATGCCATTGATTTAAAGCCTGAGGGGGAGACTGGAGTCAAATATACGATGTGTGATGAATAGGAAGCCTGCTTTCATCTTATCTTTAAACATTCCTCTAGATACAGAACTGTGAAATCCATCTTGATGCTCCCGATCAGCTCTGTCCAAGAACGATTTGTAACAAATTTGATTGTCTTCATAGATTCTCTGTGGACTCCAAAACATACATACATACGGAAGTATGGATGGCTGCAGCAAGGCTTAATAGTTTGAAAACATCTAAGGGATGATTTTAAGCTGAGAAGTTACTGACCACAGGAGCTGGGGAGTTATTCGGGGACACTGAATGATAAAGTTATTTGGTTTGTTCCCACGTTTATGTCTGACTCCAGAGTTTTAGAAGGAATGGTGCAATAGGGAAGGAAGGGGGTGCAAGATCTGGAACAACTAATGAAAGAAAATTCAATGATGTCTTTAAACAAGGAAATGGTTTTAGCTTTGTAAAGTCATTTAGCATTTTTTTTGGGGGGGGTGGGTTCCGAGACAGGGTTTCTCTGTGGCTTTGCAGGCTGTCCTAGAACTAGCTCTTATAGACCAGGCTGGTCTCGAACTCACAGAGATCCACCTGCCTCTGCCTCACAAGTGCTGGGATTAAAGGCGTGTGCCACCAACGCCCAGCCTTTGAACTTTGATGCAAATTCTCTGCCTTGATTCTTCTACTAACCCTAAAAAGGGAACCCAAGCAGAGGCAATTTGTGATGG